ATACATCACAAAGATATTTTGAGTCAGATACATTTAATTTTTTTTTAAAACAGAATAATATATTTGGTATTGTGCTCATTTTGAATACTACATTGCTTGTCACACTACATTTGGTAATAGACCTCTTCAAATATATTTAACAAATTGTTCCATGAGTAATAACTACATATAAAATATCTTCATTGAATTAAAAAATCCATATGTATTTTCTTAATGAAATACAATATATACATTATGATCTGATTGTTTTAAGGTAAGCCAAATTTTGGGCTTAAACAAATTCACAGTGTACATTTTACCTCTGTAATAGAAATCTTCACTTTAAAAGTGCTTGGATCTTAAACTGTGTTCATGTACATCTTTTCAGTGGGTTTATGGAGAGTGAAGGTTTACCATCACCCAGCACTAGAGCAGATCCAAACTGCACATTACAGTGACCAAAAATAAGGACTTCTGACTACCAAAAGCAAATGCTGACTGTCCCTGTTACCTCAAATTCTGACCAACAGATTTTCCAAGGAGCTTGTCACGGGTGGAAGATGTGCTTTGAGCAAGCATGGCCTCTAAAAGAGTCATTCAATTGTGCTGAACTAACTGCTCACTCCTTTGGAAAACCAGGCCCAAAACACTCAAGTGGGAACTCAAAATCAGTGGTCAGTCCTGCCCATGGGAGATGGCTGGGAACCATCCAAGAGCCAAAAGGCATTGAAGTTATGGTCACACTGCCTCCCAGCCTGAGGTCACACCAACTGCTCACGCTCTACTATCTTTGAAAACCTCACTTGCTTTCTTCTCCTTCAGAGGAAGAAGCCTTAGAAGTTTATAAACCCTGAGTTCATTATGCCTGAGGCCCAAGGGCGCAGATTGTCCCACATGCTCCGCTGGTGGCTAACCTAATGTGCCCAGCAGTTCCCCCAAACCATGACAAATACCCTCAAGGACAGGCTGACTTCAGCCCCTCGGCTCCACCTGTCTCCATGTGATTTCAAAACCCATTTTAATACTTGGTTTGGGTTTTTTTCCCTGAAAATACACAGTGATCCCACCAGAATTTTTTTTTTTAAAAGGACTAACAGTAAATTCAGCTAGAAACTAATCTAAACTCATTAAAAAATAACCTCAGCCTAAAAGGAAGAGGCAGAAACATTCGGATAAATTCCACAATAAATAAATTTCACAAAGCTAATTTTAAAGCAATTACTGATATTTTCATCCTTGTTTCTTAAACATACAAGTCTTTTAGAAGTGCATTCTACACCTTGATGTCCCTGTTACAGTTTTTCACAGCCCTTTCACTAATCTCAACCAAGTTTAGAGAAAAGAAGATGCCCAGTACAATATATATTTATAACAGTCACAGAATCAGTGACTGTCAGAAGAGAGAAATAAAATTTATTGTATTAACTGAGGAAAAAATTATCTGTATCAACCTGGAGAGACAGAAACTAGCTGACTGTCCTCCCTGGACATATTAGTGACACAAGAAAAAGCCAGAGACGGACACCTCATCTCCAGTTGAACAGGAAGAGATATAGAAGTATTGCAGTGGGCAGGGTGAAAGCACTGGAGGCTTCTGCTGATGGTGCAGAGATTCTTCTTTGGAGTCCTAAAGAACACAACACAAGAGCTGAGCTTTCTCCAGTGGAAAAAAGGATGAGGGATGCAAAGAAGATGAGATTTCATGAATTCTCGGAACAAGATGCTTTTGTTAGCTATGGATAGATCTGAAGGAAATGGTATGATTTACACAGGTTTAACTATGGGGAAACAAGGTCCCCTATGCATGCTACTCCCAGAATTCAGAGAGGGGTTTCACCTAATGTTTTAGTATCTTCCACCTTAAATAAAAATGTTACATTCAATCCCCCACTCTGCAGTTTGGGAGGTAGCACTCAAGACATAAAAGCTGGAGAACCTGGGAATTCTGAAACAGATTAGAACATCAATTATTAATTATGGATTAATTATGGGTTAAAGAAATTTCTCTTCTGGTCTCAGCAATAGCTTTTCAATAAACTTGGTGAAAAATACTTATTCATTAATGCACTAACTACCATTGGAACCTAGGGGTCTTTCAGAATTGTCCAGTTCCAGTGGTGACAGGGATAACTTGCGAGAAGTATAACACAGTGCTATGCGTGCCTTGATAATTTACCTCTGCATGGAAGCATTTCTAAATTATTATAATATCCTGTCCATTTTTAAGAAAGGCAGTTAACTTTTTTTTCCCACCCTAGTTGGGGAATGATGGAAAAATTAATTATCTTTTGATATATATATATATATATACACACACACACACATATATATATATATGCAAAAGATGTAATTTTTCTCTTTTGCTTCACTAAAATATATGTAAGAATCTTTACAAAAGGAAATTTGCAAAAAATAAACAGTAATGTAGGAAAATTTTAGATCTATGCTTTTAATCTTTCATGACTGGCCTTATGAAGATTCCACTGGAATTCTAAAAGAGGTAAATTGAGTATTTAAATTATCTCAAATTAACTCTTCTTCAGCAGGTAAAGAATAAATACCTTTACTGAAGTGGCATCCCCTCCCTACTGTAGACCCAGAGGATGTGCCACTGTGTTTTTCAATAAAGAATTGGAAATATTTTTCTGAATATTTTGTATAAACATGAGCTAGACTTGAGAAAAAACAGAAATATGGCTTTAAGTGAATTCTCAACATTCTGTTGCATCTCTTAAACTTTATCTCCATTATCTCTTGCTTTCTTCTTCCTTAGAGTCAAGTGACAGTTTTTCCCCAAGTTTCCTTATAAGTTCTGCCAGATCTTCAGAATTTTGAGATTTTTCCTCAAGGAGTTCATACCGGAGACTTGAGATGTCCTGTTTAATTTCCTTCAGTTCACCTGTAACAAATGTTAAAGGATCACACGATTAAGAAACAAAAGAAAAAAACACTGTGCCCAAATATCTCACAATTATCACAGGTTTTCTCTGTATTTCTGTTTTGAAATAGAAAAAGCAGATGTTCTGTTGCCTGTTGGTGAATGGTGGCTTACAGACAGGAATATGAAGATGCAGTTCAGGAATCAAACAAATCTGAAGGCAAAAGTGTGAGAGGCCATTTCAATTCACAAAACTCACACGATCTGTTATATGGAAGCTGCTGTTCTGCTCCAAGAGACATCATAGAATCACAGAATCATTTACGTTGGAAAAGACCTCTAAGATCACCAAGTCCAATCATTAGCCCAGCACTGCCAAGCCCATCCCTAAACCTTGCCCCTAAGCACCATGTCCACATGTTTTCCAAATAACTCCAGGGATGGTGACTCAACCAGGATGGACAACCTGTTTGGATACTTCACAACCTCTTCTGTAAAGGCATTTTTCCTAATGTTCAATCTAAACCTCTCCCTGACGCTATTTGCTCTTGTTCTGTAACTTGTTACTTGGGAAAAGAGTCCAACCACCACCTTGCTAGATCCTTCTTTCAGGTTGTTGTAGAGAGTGATAAGGTCTGTCCTTGAGCCTCATTTTCTCCAGGTTAACATCCTCAGTTCCTTCAGTCTCTCCACATCAGACTTGTGCTCCAGATCCTTCACCAGCTCCATTGCCCTTCTGAGCAGTCCTCTCCTTCTCCTGCACTAAGTATCCTTCTAGCATCAGAGGGGTGCAAACACACAAGAACATCCCTATGAAGTGCATTTACTAGATGTTTCCAGCTAATAAATCACACACAAAAGAAGCTGAAACATGTGCATCCCCATATATGAATTCACAATAAGAACACATACTGACACGAATCAAAATTCATACGGGAATGCCTCAAACCAGCTGCTGCATGAAACGCAGTCTCACCATGGGAAATGCCTGGGCATCACAACAGCCTTCCCATATCCAAAGGAAATCTACAAGAAAGCTGGAGAGGGATGTTTTACAAGGGCATGCAGTGATAGTTTGAGGGGCAATGGCTTCAAACTGAAAGAGGGTAAGTTTAGATTGGACATTATGAAGGAATTATTTCCTGTGAGGGTGGTGAGGCACTGCAACAGGTTGACCAGAGAAGCTGTGGATGTCCCATCCCTGAAAGTGATCAAGGTCAGGATGGATGGAGTTTTAAGCAATCTAGTCTACTGGAAGGTGTCCCTGCCCATGGCAAAGGGGTTAGAAGTAGATGATTCTTATGGAACTAGATGATCCTTAAGGTCCCTTCCAATCCAAATGATTCTATGTTTCTATTATTACTAGAAATAGTAACACTTTTGACATCTTGTCAGATCACTGATAGTTTCTGATGGGAAACAAGAGACAGGAATACCATCTCCTCTTTAACTTCAATTTCATGATAATTTTACAGCTAGAACTTGTAAACATGTCAAGTGAATTAAGTATTTTTGAAACTTCTTTTTTTTTCAAGTGCCTTATGTAACCACTTTAATTTGTTTTCTCTGATTAAACATACAATTCATCAACATACTCACCTTCATTGACTTCATCACTTTCCTTATCTATCTGAGCTTTCAATACATATCTTTTAATTAGACGTTTCATTATTTTCTGAAGAGAACAAAGAAAGAAAAAAAGTTTTCTTTTTTGGACTAGTATTGTTATGACATTTCAAAATACGAGCTCTTGTCCTGCTTTCAGCTGGGACAGAGTTCATTTTCTTCTTACTAGTTGGTACAGTGTGACTTCTGGTTTTATGATGAGAATAGTGTTGATAACTCATGTTTCAGTTGTTGCTGAGCAGTGCTTACCCCAAGTCAAGGACTTTTCAGTGTCTTGTGCTCTGCCAATAAAGAGGTGCAGAAGGGAGGGAGCATGGTCAGGATAGCTGACCCAAACAGGCCAAAGGGATATTCCATACCACAGAATGTTATGCTCAGTGTATAAACTGAGGGGAGTTGACCTTAAAGGACCAATCACTGCGCTCTCACTCTCTCTCCTCTTCACTACTACTACTATTACTACTATTATTATTATATTTTACTTTATTTATATTAGTAAAGTGTTCTTATCTCAACCCTCAAGTTTTACCTTTTACAATTCTCCTCATCCCACAGCGTTCTGTGGGTGGTATGGGGAGAGTGAGTGAGCAACTGTGTAGCACTTAGTTGACAGCTGGGGTTAAAATACAGCAGCTCTGGTACCTTCTGTTGCATTCAGACATTTCAGTATAGGACTCAACAGGTTAAAAAGGAATAGAATGTAAAAATCTCTGCTTTCATCTGTAGTAGATGTTTAAACTTTATGATTCTGCACATATATATAGCTGAAAGTTAGAAAACTAAACACATTTTACAAAAGTCAGAATTCATGAAGCTTAATTTACTACTGTAGTCTATAAAAATGATCAATATAGTTGTAGCTTTAAACTCCACGTAGGTGAAACCATCTGGCCTTTACTGCTACCACAAGGTGACAATAACCCTGCTTAGCAGTGGTAATTGCCAAACCCTTTTGTCATCAGTTTATTTTAACCTATTTTGATATTATATTTAATAAGTTATGTTTTCCCAACGTTGGGCTTAGAGAAAATGGGACCCACAATTCTAAGAGTCATTTAAGTATCTCAGCTGGGACTCATCTGACCAAATACCTTCTCATGTAAATATGCATATCCGTCACCTTTAATTGCCTCTATGGATAAAAAGAGCAAACCTGAGAGCACAGTTTATCTCAGACAACTAAAACTGATCAAAGAGATCACACCATGAGAATGACTAAACTCTCTGCTAATAATAAGGGGAACCAAGGCCAGTGAATTTATTGTAAATTTTACCCTTCCAGGAAAAAAGAATTCTGGCCCTGATTCTCCCATTAGTTCAAATGGCTTGAAAAAGAACAAGGTATCCAAACACCTTTTAGGATAGGTATTTCTGTCTTTGGGTTTAATACTTTCATATGGTGTAGTCCACGACAACAAAATACTTCTTGTTTTTCACCATAAGATATAAAACGTACATAGATTTATGTATCTGCTTTTGTCTCCACAGTAATAAACCCGGTCAGAGCTGGTTGTGAGGTGAGTCATCCCAGATTAGTGGTTCCAGACCATCACTGCAGTCATGCTCGCAAGGTCAGCAGCTGTACTGTTTATTCTAATAATCCAAGAATGTTTCAAATACAAAGCCACACATATTCATGTTTATGGGGTAAAATTTTATTCTTAATATCTATCATTGCATCCTAATGAAACTGGCTGTGAAGAAGTCAGGGAGTTTTTGGAACAGGCTTGGGCAGACACTTCATAATATAAGAATGGAACAGAGCTTGCCTGACCAGGGGGAAGAGCTTTTTTTCTGTCTTAGGGTCAATAAAGTATACTTGTTTCCTACACCCTTTTCATTCAGATTGTCATGTTCTATTGACCAGGCAGCTCTTGCTTCTTCCTTTCCACCTGCTGTATGGTATTACAGGAAGGAAAGTAGTAGTTTCTGGATCAGAATAGCTGGTCCTTTGGTGGACTGTGCTGGGTCTCTTTATACTTAACTGCACAAAGGCTCACTGCAGTTGTTTAGGAGGCAAAGAAATATCAGACTATATTGAAAGCATAAACGCTGACAGACATTTGCAGTGCTTGAGGTATTTGTATACAGAAGTGTAGAACAATAAGCTAAGCTACTTCAGCAGATAGAATGGGAAGATTTTGAGGGTTTGTTTGGGTTTTCTTAGTTCCCATTGTGCATCCTGTCTCTAAAATTAAAATAATTTCTCAAGCACTTTAAAATATTACAGTATAATGGCAGCATTTAGGAAACAAAGAAGAGAGAAAAACACCCTCAGATAGTTCTGCAAATACATATATCATTAAATTTATTTCAGATACATACAAGGCCAGTGAATTTATTCCTGACTCACATTGTTTAGAATAAATTAAAACTATCCTCAAGACATCATTCTGCCAGTTCTACTACTTCTTGATTTTGTTCAAAAATGAACTGGGTTTTACCTGGTATTGTCTTGGAGGATTGTTTAAACTGTTTAAGTGGATTTCATCTGAGCTTCTTATGCTTGACTGCTTCCTCTGACCAAGCTGAAATGGAAAGATTATTTATAATTGAAAACAAATAAAAGAAAAATACATATATAGCATGTATAAATCATGCATATATACACCATATGACAGAACAATAACTATTGAGTTCAATCAGGAAATGTTAATTTATTGCAGTAAAGTCCTCATACATGTACAGAATTTAATTACAATACTGAAAAAAACACTTTCAGACTGTGATGTAGCAAAGTGATAACTGGTAGGGTTTCTCCATTTACTCTGCCTCTCACCTGCTCCTAACATGTCCAAGGGACCATAATAGAGTGGCCACGTCACTCTGGGCTTTCTCCTGCTCCTCTGATGCACAGGAGGGGGAATCCATGTCAGGAGGAAGGCAGTACTGGTGTGGCACAGCTTTGTAGGCAACTGATGAGGGAAGGTCAGGGCAGGTATGGGAGAAGCCAAGGAAAGAGGGGTGACAGCATTATCTCTTTCCTTTTTTTTTTTTTTCACAGCACTTGCCTGTAATTCATGTGACCTCCTCTACCACAAAACAAAAAAGGAGTTTGCTTCTCCCCTCACTGGTTGAATGTAATTGGTCATGCAGTTCACACAAGGGACAACAAGATTATCAGCTGACACTTTTGAGTTGCGTCTTCTTTATTATACATGCTGAAAGGGCATAAATCCCCGATGAAACATGGAGGATGAAATTCGTAGGCTTCATTACTCATTTACATCTTTGAGAAGGACTAAAAAATCACAAAATAGTGAACTGAGACTCAAGCTGAATGACTGGGCTGCAGTAAGAGTGAATAGCAGCTGTCAAAACAAATAGTATTACTTTACATAAATAACAGGGCCAGTTCAACAAGTAGTGCAGGTAACATAAAGATTGTGAAATATACATTATGATTGATCTTGATGAGGAACAAGTGGGACTGAGAAAGTCTGAAATTTTACATAGTCCAGTAAAATTTTTACTGTTTTAAAGGACCAGGCAATCATTACAGTGTCTCAGATCCTCCGGGATTGTGTTGTCCTTCCAGTGAAATTCTCTTTGTTGTGTCTTAACACATAGAGCACCTACAGATAAGCAAACTGGACCATTTTGAAGCCTGTTAAGTACTATGTGGGATATGCTGGGATATAAGTCATTATGGAGGAAAGCAGGGAAGTGTTAGATGCTTATGCAGCTGTACACTGGGAATAATTTAAATACCTTTAGAATTTGTTTAGCATTTCATAGAGTCAAAGAATGGTTTGTGTTGGAATGGACATTTAAAGAACATGTAGTGCAACCTCCCTGCCATGGGCAGGGACACCTTCCACTAGATCAGGTTTGTATTTTGATATTTTTTCCTGAAGAAAAGTTGACACCTATTGGTAAAATACATTCATTTGCAATTAATATAAAGTTTACAATGAACTTGGATTTTTTTCTTTAGAAAGATTCACAAACTATATGCATATTCCTGAAAAAAAATTCTCTATTCAGACTGTTTATTTGAATAACCAAAAATAATGATAGAATATATATAATAATATAAATATAAAATAATTAATATTTGTCTCTTACATATTAATCAACATTTGGACGGAAGTTAAATAAAAGATGTATAGAAAGGACAAGTTGTCCTTTTTCTTTGCTTGAGTAAAGCTACTTTAAATGCTTTGAATATATATTAGAAAACATAAGTTTATCTAAATGCTTAAACTTAAACCAAGTATCTGATTTATGATAAAAAGTAATGGCTAGTGAGTTTACACAACTGTGCAATCACTATGTCTTTCAGGATTTTAGAACTATTAATACTGTCTTGGGCCTCACCTTTACTACTAGGTTAAAAGAGAAAAACAGTCTTCCTGCTATTTAAGCTCCATTTTTGGAAATAATATAGTAGAATAAGAGGAAAAGCATGCTTTCTTTGCAGCAGCAGAGGGAAGCTGTCATGAGTAAAGCTGCCCTAGGCCAAGAGCTTGGGCTACAGCTGTGTGGCTGGTGCCCCAGCACTCCTGGATCTCTGACTTTGCAGCTGTGATATCATTCATGAGCCTGTTACTTACCAGTTTATCTACAGATTTTCCTTATAAATGTTTAGTATTTACTATGTATTTTATTATATATTTTAAAAAGTAATCTGTCATGTTGGTTACCAGTTTCAAATTTATGTTACACTGGTTCACTTCAAATATTAATCAAATGCTTAACTACAACTTGATTTTCTCTTGAAATAGCAAAACTGGTATTATGTGGCAAAATCAATTAAGTGAGACACTGCAAATTTGTAAAATCAGGCACACTATAACAAATTTATCTTAACTTTTACCCTTCAGCACTTTTTTGGACAGAATAATGAACTTAGCTACAGATTGCACCTCAAAGTTGGCAGGCAAGTCATAAGTGTGTAACTTCATTAAATCTGCTTATATGTAACACTAACAGGACAGAACATCTACTGCGTGCTGCTGAACAACCACTTGGTGGCAGAGATTGCCAAGATTTCATCGTAACATCAAATAACATTGTTAAACTCTCTTTAATTTTCATGCCTATGGTTTTTTTCTTTCCCCAAAATTACTACTGGAGTACACTCAGCCTGTCATGTTGATAACTGAACCAGAATTCCTATTTTCAAGTTAACATTTTTTGAACATGAGTAATCAGAAGGGAAATAATGTAAATTAAATAAAACAATGATACAACCCCCCCCAAATAACTCTCTTCCAAGAGTGTGGTGTGAGAGATGACATGCAGCACATATGCATCATTCCTCTTAGAAAATACCTTTGTCTTTAAACTTTCTCCTCATTTCGTCATTCTCTAGTATTAGTTAAAACTGAATGCAATCACAATAGTAATGTAATTATTGTAGCTGTTTTGTTTACCATTCTGTTAATGTCTTAAATCCCATTTTTCAGAAGCAAGTGATGACTTGGAATGCCAAAAAACTGTACATGCTTGGACCAGAAGGGAGGGTTCACAGAAAATCAGTTTGTGCTCCCATAATCAAAGGCCACTCATGAAAATTTCAGAAACATTGGTTTGTACTAGGAAAGTAAAAGCTGAAATATTTTTCTTTTTTGAATGGAGGTTTAAAGCAGTTTCAATAAATGGTTGTGGTTGTCCCTTATTTTTTTCCTGAAGGGCCAGGTTTCAAGAACAAGGTTTAAATACATGATCTTCAACTACTGTTTTTTAGCTCAGGAAGAATAAACAAGTTCTGTGACTCTTAAAAAAATAAACTTTCTCAATCGCAAGGCAATTTTAAAATTTAGAATAAAAAACTAAGTAGGTTTCTTTAAAACTCTCCTTTTTCTTAATTTATTCCTCCCCTTTTTTTGGTTTGAGTTTCTTGTTCACTTTATGTTTAAAACTCCAATTGTAGCTTGAAACAAGAAATCTACAAGTTTTAATCAACAACCTGAAAGAAAACAACTTCACAGCCTTTAGTATTATAGGCAGATATGTCTCAAGAAATTAACTTCCTGTGTGCTACACTTTGAACACAGCAATGTAAATTACTTGCTGTAATTACAGCAATGACAGCATCTGGCTTTGTTTTCTGCCAACAATAATCAGGGCATAGCTGGCTCTAGGAGCAGAATTCCCCCCCCTTCCAATCCTAATTCTTGTCTTTACACTCACCGTGAAGCTGCTGGTGCTTTTGCACTGAGAAGATGCTGGCTGTGCAGCAGAAAGACCCACAGGCTGGATCTGAATCAGTAAACTCAAGTGTGTGTTAACATTATTTGGCACTGCAATGCAATGTCTTCTACCAATAAACTTTTACTCTCCTCCCGGGTAGGACTTGCCCCAAAATGACTTTCTACCTTCCTAGGCACAGTTTGGCAACTGGAATGGTCTGAAGACAAGAGCTTGCAGCAACCCTTTTCAAGGAAAACTACTTATATAGGGGCAAGCCATTCCTGAATTGGCCTCAATGCCCAGATAAACTACCCTTCACATTTCACTAGCATAAACACAGCCATTAAGTCTAGGGTCTTGGGTCTGGTCTTGTCAAATCTTTTCTTATCTTTGCACAGATCATTGCATTTATAAAAGCTCCTTGCACAAATAGCTCCTTGCTCAGTAGTCTCAGCACTGAAAGAGTCCAAAGTCAAAATCCAAAAGCCTGAGAGTGCCTTCGAGAAGATGCCATAAACCGGTCAAAACAATAATGAATCATAAACAGTGGGTCAAAAAGTAACACAAAAGCATTTTAGTCACTTTTTGGAAGTGCACAGGATGGCAGCATCTCATAGATTCAGATAAGTCAGCTCCACAGCATGTAGTGGTTCAAAAAGTAAGTAAAAATGTAATCATCTGGTGATAGCAATCATCCTGCTGGAAAAGCTGAAGAATGAATAAATGCAACTCAGATGCTTTATGTTTATCAACATAAAAGCCTTTTTTTTTTTTTTTTAATTTGATTTGCAGTTTTATAGCTGCTTTGGCTGGGGAGTAAGCACATTTCATTTAGGATTAGTTACACTACAATCTGCAGTGAGTGTAAAGCATTAATATTTGAAGACTAAAATTTAATTCAGGGCTAGGAAAAAATCTGATAAATGATGTTTACATTCTTACAGCTGTCTTTCAGAGGGACTGCTGTAAAAGCTGATACACCTGTTACCTGTTGTTTTATCTAGAACCGGCAATTATTACACTTTGCACCCTTCTAGTTGAATTGCTAGATTTGAAAGGAGTGATAAAAATACAGCTTCTTTCCTTAGGGTGCATAAATGGGATTTTTAAGACTACTTGTTTTAAAGAACATAAATTTCATGCTAAAAAGGTACTAAAACAAGCTTCTAACTTACTTATGTGATTTTTCAAAGTCGCAAGGGAATTAGAAAAAGAACCATTTGTTGTTTCTCACTATCACTCAATTTTAAGTTTATATGCATCTCCTTATATCTCACGCATCCCCTTACGCATGATTTTTCAGTGATGACTTTATCACTCACAGAGTTTTTAAAACCAAGTTTTGCAAATGTCAGTCATTAAAAACCTGAGCAAATGAAGTATCACCTCTGTTGGGTCTTAAATACATTAGGATTAGATTTCCCAAGTAAAATGAAGACAGATCTGTGAAACACTAGGAAAATTACCAATTGTACACAAGACATTTTAAGTTAATAACAATCCTGACTTTGGTGACACTGTAGTTCCTGTGTTTGTTCTCATAAACTATTATAAAGTTAACCAGGGGCAGAGGTTTGTCAGAGGCACAGTATTTTTCCTAAAACTCCATTTTTTCCACCTAGGATTGAAAACAGTTTTTCTCTTCTACTCTTCAACTCTGTGTTGAAAAATCTGCTTTTCACACTGGTGACAAAGAACTGACAGACACATGTAAATTCTTTAGTGGTCCCCAGTCTAATTGGTAATGACTCTTGACTACAGACTCAAGAACTCATAACCTTTAACAGGCCTCTGCTCAGACCACCACACATTTTAACACAATTCTTTCCACATTTAAATTTCCATAGAAGACAATTTTGTTTCTGCTACCATGACAAATTTTAACTTTTTTCTTTGTATGCTAGAATAGTGCTAGTCTTTAACTTTCCAATATCACCTAACATTCCATATTCTCCTAAAGCAATTAACTTTGATTCACACCAAGGCAGTGCAGGAAAAATACACTGACTACAAACTTCTTAAGCAAGCCCAGTGAATCAACTCAAGCACTTTTTACTGCACTAGGTATATAAAACAGATAAAAAATGCTTTACAATAAAAGTAGGCTGCATTTTCAGTGCAAGCAGACACAGGCTATCAAGGGGAATTTAGAAACTGTCCAGATATGTGAGTGTGGTGTTAGGAAAGACAAAGCTTGCCTTAAACTAACATTTGGAACGGCGATAAGAAAATCTTCTACTGCTCCAATAGCAATGTAAGGCAGAACAAGGAAGATGTGGGTCTGTTGCTCAGTGGGAAAGTGGATTTAGGTGACAGTGGATGATAGTAAGACTGAGGGACTTGATGCCTTCTTTGCCTCAGGCTTCAGCAAGAGTCTCTCAGGCCTCTGTGCTTAGTGAAGGGATTCCAGGGGACAGGGCTTATTTGAGAGAACTTGACCAAGGCAAGTCCCTTGGGCCCAAAGAGCTTCATCCACAGGTGCTGAGAGAGCAGATGAACCCCTTGCAAATACGGTATCATCTCTGAAAACACATGGATATTGAGAGAGGTCCCCAAAGGCTGAAGAAAGACAAATGTCGAACCCATCTTCAAAAAAGGTCAAAATTATGATCTGAGCAAACATGGGCACTCAACCTCCCTTCTGTTACCGGCGAAAAATTGGAATGAATAACGAATCCTCTTGGAGTATGCAAAAGAACAGATAGTGACTGGAAAAAGTAGGAGTGAATTTATGAAAAATAAAATCTGTCTAACCATCAGATGGTATTCTGAGATAAAATGACTTGCAGATAAGGGGAGAGCTGGAGATGTCACCTGACCTGACTTTAGCAAGGGTTTTAACACTGTATTCTAGAATATTCTTGTACCCGTGTTAGTGACTGAGTTCAGGATGGATGAAGTATATTGGGAAATTCATGAGTAAAACAGGGCAACAACAAAAAAGAAGTTAACATTGTTTTTATCTTTTAAAATTAGCAGTCAGTATACACATGCCAAAATTACCTTGTTCATCTCCGCATCTTCCTGAAAGTTTTTCTTTTGGCACAAAAATAGTTTAGAAATACATTTTTTGATTCTGATTAGGAGATATAGCAAAGATTTTGGGCTTGGCACTAAGTTGAAGGGTACTGGAAGAGTTCGCCCTTCTTCAAAGTAAGAAAACCAAAGTTTAGCCCTTGCAAATTTCCATTCTACATCAGCATCATCCTGTAAAATGGAAACACAGATGTTAATACACTGTTAATCCCACTTTGACTATTAAAGATGCTCTAGCTAAACTTTATGTGTGTTTTGAATGTAACAGCTGAAGTTAATCCCAAACAGATCAAGAACTTGCTTATGATCCATGAAACCCAATTTTCAATGAATGGAATGATTCTTATTAATCCATTTAAAATAATGTGATTACAGAAGAACAGAATGGATTTAATTTAAACATTTCTTACTCCAGGGTCAGTGCTAATAGTCTGCAATATAGGATTACAATGACAGACCCTGCTAATAGTCTATAGACTATCACTCTATTACTTTAAATATGAAGTTAAAAAAGATTAGGTGATTCTTAGATAATTCCTTTCACTTGTTGGAACATCTGATTAAACCAGATATGCTACCATCACTGTGGTTTATGTTTAACATTTAGGATCATCAAAACAATCACTTTATTCTGCCCTGCAAAGTTTAAGAGGGTTTTTCTGCAGAAAGGACTGACATCATGTCAAAGGACATAACTCAGTATTGCTGTGCCTGTTTTTAGAAGCTGCTTTTTATCCAGTCAGCTTATTTTTTGATAAGAAACTGCTTTTTAACTCTCTAAACCTCATAGGTTTGCTCTGTGGTTTCCCGAGTCAGAAGAATATGAACCTCCCTAGAGAATGTGCTGCTCTTGCTCAAGCCAGACAACGCTACAGCCCCAAACCAGAGCCTACAAGAGGAGGCCAGAGCAGTGTCAAACCTGAGCATGCAGCTGTGTGCGAGGACATCATCTGGGAAGGTCTGAAATGGCCTAGCTCCTGGAGATCTGCCTCCTTCTTTTTCAAAACAATGACAATGATTTAGCACTCTGTTTTACATGGCATACAAAAGTTTATGCTGATTTTCAGCAGCCCTGCTGATTACTTTGTCAAAGTAAAGTTTTGTTCACTTCAGAGGTCTAGAGCAACAGTTCTTTAATGAAAGAAGAACATAGCATGTTAGAGACTTGCTTGCAAGGCCAAGGCATAGGAATGAGAACATCCCTGAAGCAAGAGGGAAATTTCTCAAATAATTAAAAATGAGGCAAGTGAAAGATCACAAAGTCGCACCATGTAGCCCATCTTCTTCAGGAAGAGGGTTCAGCAGCATTTTCTTATTCCAGTCTGATTCTTACTAATGCAAACACATGCAGCCTGGTAACTTCCAGGTATTTTATAATAAAAATGTTCAGTTGAATTAGTATTTTCTCCTAATATATTCCAAAAGCCTATGTGTTACTTTTCTTAAACAAGATGTCAACAAGAAAATTTTCTGGGAGATTTATACAATTATTTGTAACAGCAAATGTGGTAATACTTCATCATAAAAGTAGTTTTTACCTCAATTTCCTGGAATGAACTGTTGATCATTGCAATAAGCATGTTCAGTAAGACGATGACCATGGTAACATTATAGACTCCATAAAGGACATAACCAATATTTTCAATAAATTTGTGTTTATAATTGATGACAACTGATTTAACTTCTGAGAGTCCAAATATAGCCCAGAACAATGTTTTGAAACTTTCTTCAACACTAAAAGGAGAAATTGAACACATGCATATAATACTGAAGAAAAGCTGTATATTCTCACTGTATAATTTGTCAGTTACCATTTTTATATGGTGTACAAATTTTTCCATTATCATAAAGTAGAACTCTGCCACAGTGCATAACAGTAGACTAATTTCATGGGCACAGGCTATTTCATAATACAAGATTCCTAAAACTTAGGACTGACAATAAAACCATCTGATTCAGTTTAGGAATTATGTACCCATCCTTGAAAGAATACTACAATTATTTGCTTGTTAAATAATCTACATGCTACAGCCTGCTGAATGTAAATTAATGTAAATAAAAAATAATTACCTGTAAATTATTAAAATTGAATCATTAGTTCACTTTGTATGAATTATTTCACCATTATTATGACAAAGATTCTGAAACTGTGAGAAGACAGGATATCTGATAGCAAAACATCAATTTTCAGAAAAATGAGTCTCACAGACCATAATCTTCCAGCTGAATTTTTACCATTCCACGTAAAACCATGGTGTGGGCATTCTGATTTTTTTTCAAGTTAGTTCACTTAAATACATGTATTTCCTCTTAATCAGTTTATACATATACAGCAGTCCAAACCTCTGAGGTATTTTTTCCTATCTATCTCCACCTGTTTGAAGACATATTTTCCCTTGCTTTGATAAAGATATCTCAGTACCCCATGCCCAAAAAAGTAGTAGCTTTGCAAAGCATGTTTTGTATTTCATTGCATTATTGTTAGGAAAAAAAAGTTACATTTTAATCAGTTGTACTTACGTTGTGAATGCTTCATTTTGTTTCGCCCCCAGGTAGTAGGAATAGAGATTAAACATGCCGATCATGAAAGCTACAAACACCATGATAAATATCACCATAAACTTGAAGATGTCTTTCACGGTTCTGCCAAGTGATATCTGCAGTGGTCCAAAGCTTTCATTAGCTGGTAAGATGTAGGCTATTCTTGAGAAACTTAATACAACCGCAATTGCATACAGCCCTTCAGATATGATCTGAGGATCAGAGGGATCCCAGTTTATTCTGGCTAGAAACAAAAGATGAGAACTGTCATTATTTCAAGATAACTGTATGCATCTATGGGGGGGTGGGGTCTTTTTGAAGCAGCAATTGGAACAGCAGTCAGAACAGCATCTTGGACACATGGTGTGACTCTTGTTGATGTCCTCTGCAGGGCTAAGAGTTGGACTCAATGATCCTTGTGGGTACCCTCCAACTCAGGATATTCTGTGATTTCAAGGTGAGGGAAGAAACCCTGGGCAACTCAAACAGCACTAGTCACTCAGGTTTAGCTGACTGAATTGAGCCATGTAACTAAAACCCTTCCATAGCTCCACTGACTGTATTGATTAGATCACCAGTAATTATAAAAGTGGACCATAAGATCACTAAGGTAACTTTTTGGGAATTGAATCCTCACCTACAATAGAATATAAGTAAAATTCAGCTTACAGTGTCAAGTAATGAAAACTGAGCTGTGACAAAATGAACTGTATTGATGTGGGGATCTGAATTAATTAAATGGCATTCACAACTCCAAAACTACATGAACAATAATATTTCTGTATATTTTCTGCTTTATTGTCTTACTCATAATGAAATTGTTATGGTCTTTTCCCAGCAAACAACCATTTCCATCACCTTTTCTATCATCATTTCTATCAATCTCTTCTGCTGAAGCTAATGTACTCGTGAATTACTTGAATGTCTTTTAATAGGGAATGTGACACATTCAACTGCAGAGCAGAACATTTAAGTTTAAACTTTTACTTCAATAAATATTTACAGAAAAGTGTCAAAAGTCCAAAGCAATACCCTCCAGAATACTTCCTTGCTGTAAGTCAAGGCATTCTCTCATGATGTGGCAGGCTTAAATTCATTCACTATTGTGCTTCAGGAAAAGAGAAGAGGTTAACCTGGGATGTGTTACTTATGTCCCAGGAGAGTTGTTATCTGTGTTTACTCTCCTGTAAAGGCCCTTCTCTCCAATATGTTCACATCTCTCTTGTACTGGGGTGCCCAGAACTGGACACAGCACTCCAGTTGTGGCCTCACCAGTGCTGAGTAGAGGGGTAGGATCACCTCCCTCCACCTGCTGTCCATGCTCTGCCTAATGCAGCCCAGAATACCATTGGCCTTCTTTGCCACAGGGGCCCACTGCTGGCTCATGTTCAACATGGTGTCCATCAAGTTATGTTTGTTACCCTATGAAAAAAACTGTAGCCCTAAATAACATTATCCATGTTGCCACTACCATACCCAGGTGCTCTCAAAGCAGACTTCAATGTACATGCATACACTAAAAAATGGCTCAACTGTGCTTCAGTGCATAACAAAGTCACAACTCTTGACTGATATGAATGGAAACTGCCTTGCTAAATAATGCAGTATTGTGTAGCATAAATGAGTTACAAGACTTGTGCTTGTCATATGCAGACACTGTGAACATAAACAACAGTCTCTGTTTGTACATTCTTCAAGTGTGTGTTTCTGAAAACTGAATTAATATTTACCAGCTGCTTTTAGGACTTACATAAAATCTGTAACTTTCCAGTAAAACTTATGAGACTTACAATTCAATGTGTTTCAGAATATATATATTAATTGCTCTGCTTTTCTACAGCCTGGATAATGCAGAAATGTAACCTTATAAGAAATAACATCTGAGGCACAGAACAGATATAGAAACTGATGTAATTCAGTATCTAGAGAAAAATATCTAATAAAGGTAAGACAGATGTGGCGATGCTGACAGTGAACACCAGTCAAGAGAGCTTAATTTTTTCTCATTCAGGCAAAATAGTTTCTAGTCACTTCTCATATATGCTAAGCAAGTTTACTAACATTTTTCATCTCCTACTGGTAAAGAGAGCGGATTGAAAAATATTAATGTAATATAACAGAGTCTCTAAGAAAATAATATATAAAAGACATATTGGTTATGTTGACAAAGCATGTTTAAGAAGTTCATGCATCTCATTGTTTAGTTTTGTCCCCACATTACAGTAGATTCCTTTCACAGCTGCACAAATAGAGATTGGTTTGCAGATAGTATTGTGTAACGGAATAGATTAAAATAATCTCAAAAAGGTGTCAGGTAACAGTAAGGTTATTTTGATCTTAGATCATTTCAATGCCTGCTGTTTATAACACTCTCCCAAAAGATGTATGAGCATAGCCAAGGGAACTGTGATCAAACAGTAGAATCACAGAATCATAAAATATGCTGAGCTGGAAGGGACACATCAGGATCATCGAGTCCAACGCCTGGCCCTGCACAGGACACCTCATGAATCACACCATGTGCCTGAGAGCATTGTCCAAATACCTCTTGAACTCAGACAGGCTTGGAGCTGTGACCACTTCCCTGGGGAGGTCCTGGGGAGGCTGTTCCAATGTTCATTCAAACTCTGGGTGAGAAACCTTTTCCTGATATCCAACCTAAACCTTCCCTGACTCAGCTGCATGCCATTCCTTTGAGTCCTGTCACTGGTCATGAGAGTGAAGAGACTGGTTCCTGCCCCTCTACATCCGCTCATGAGGATGATGAAGACTGCAATGAGTTCTCCCTTCAGTCTCCTCTCCTCTGGGCTGAACAGACCAAGTGACCTCAGCTGCTCCTTATATGGCTTCCCTTCCGGACCCCTCACCATCCTTGTGACCCTCCTTTGGACGGTCTTCAATAGTTTAGTGGGTTTTTTTACAATGTGGTGCACAAAACTGCACACAGCACTCCAGGTGAGGCCCCACCATTGCAGAGTGGACGGGGACAATTCACTTCCCTCAACTGTCCGGTGATGCTATGCTTAACGCACTCGAGGACACAGATGTCCTGTCCTGGCTGCCAGGGCACCACTGACTCATATTCAATTTACCATAAGAATGAGAAGGAGTGGGAAATTCTTAAGTAGTACATTGTGGACCTATGGTATTGGAGACTTATTAATAGAAAAATCAGTTCATTTTGGCGGCAGAAGTAAATCTTAATCACGTGCAATCAACTCACCCAAGGTGTAGTATTTTATGCTGGGGTCCAGTGTTGGACTTGTCAGATCTTTCATATGTGCATCAACAAAGTTCTGGGCTCTGGACGCATGCCAAAATGCCATAAACCTTGCTATGAATGATGCTGCAAAAATTGCTAACATACCAAAATCAAGCATATTCCATAACTCAAAAAGGTATTCCTTTGGACCTTGAGACCAAATTTCTTTACATTCAGACCATATCATGCCTGTATAAGACAGAACAGAGAAAACAGTGTATTCTTTTATCTTCACAATTGTTTTATATTTTCATTATATATAGAACATGGTCTTGGTTGCAGTCAAACTCAAAACAATTTTGATCAGTGGGGATTCAAACACAAAATAAAATCCTTGAATCTGAAAATTCATATAGATTGCAAGACTTCTTTCTCATGTGAGTAATAATAGCAATCTTTCAGAATTCCTTTCAGAATTCCGCATGATCTGTGGTAGAGCTAACAGAGAAACTCACATCTTCTTATTTTCAGAATAACCCTGGGTACAGAATCATTTACTGAAATTGAAAAGATATGTGACTAATGAGCAAGAAAGTAAGACTCAAACCTAATGCTTCTTCAATAGGACAAAGGTATCTTAATTCCCGATTACTCTTGATTCCCAATTACTCTTCCTTAGTAATAAAATATAAGAGTACAGCATTATTTTATGACATCTTTTTTTTACTGAGAAAATCCTTTATCATTTCAAGATAAAAAATATAAACGACATTTCTAGGATTCTAAAAAGAATCTTTAATAAAAAGCTGAATGGAATAATGTCACTAATTTTTGCACTTATCAAATTTTCTGAAGGAATTTTTAATAATTTTCATATAAGGACAATAATAATGTCAATTACAGTAACTACATTTAGTATTACATCTATATGCACTGAATCAATTTTTCATAAACTGTCTTGTGCATGACACTGAAATAAATAAAAATAGAATAAATTAGTAAATTAGAACTTTAAATTAGGGAACTATTATTTCCTCCTATAATATTGGGTGAAAATATTGATATTTATAGACTTTGGAAATCTAAGTGCTATATTATTCCTATAATACACAATTATATTAATTTATAAATAGCTTTACTATTAAATAAATAAAGACTGCCAATGCCTTTTAAAGCTATAAGAATCGGTATACAAATATCAATCATGGAGAGATCATAAACACAAAATATGTTAAATGTGTAAGCTCTTGAATGGAAAGATATTTTACTTAGCTTGAAGTTAACTCTCACACATTACTGTCTTAAGTAACAATCAGAATCCAGACTCTTAATATATTTGGGCATGTAACCCTCACTGGATTAAAAGGTATCAGACTTGTAAATGAGAATCTGACAGCCAAAATATTTGGAGGGCTTGAGCTCAGGTTCTGATGCTGAATAGTACTAAATCACAGAATTCAGTGGGTCAGCTCAGAGCACTCAGCACTCATTTCACCCCTATGCTGGGACGAAAAAATCTACTGCCAAATGTTCAGGGGTCTATATTCTTCTCTTATGTCAATAATACATTCAGCTAAACACTGTTAGTTCTGCAGGCATACTTGCAAAAAAAGAGAATCTTAGCAGAAAGAGACAATTGGACACAAAAAACCCTGTACCTGTTATGTGCAAAACTTTCCCCTTTGTAGTTGGCACAGTGTGACTCAAAACCCCCAGAAAACTGGAAGACACTTTGCTTTGGTATCCATAAAACTGAATTCATTTATATTCAGATGACGTCGATTTCACCTAAATCCTTAATCTGAATGTGATCTACTAGGCACATGTGAATCCTGCTGACATCAAATGAGGCCCATGTGGGAATGAAGACAACTGAGAAACTCCCTTTGTTGCAATATTTACACAAAACATCGATAGCAAAGGATTCAATTGGGTTCAGCTTCACTTGAAATCATAGCAAGACAAATTCAAGCAATTTTTTTTACCTATTACCCAAGAAATAATGAGCATCTCCATCCATGTGAAACACGATGTTTTCATCCTAAAGAGCTGCTTTACATTGTCTGTTGTTTCATTAGGTCGGAGTTTGGTGCCATCAAACCTGTCAGCTGCATTCATGACAAGCAGACCAAGAAAAATGGTGAAAGAGGCTGCATGGGCTACAAACTTCATAAAAGGTCCACGCATTATCCTCCCCAGCTGCAACAGAGATTATGAAACACAAGGATATTGCATTGATTTCTTCCAAAATCAAAAATACATAAAAAGAGCAGTAACATAGAAAGTCATATATTTCAATAATGCAAAGGAACAAATATTTAGAAAAATTTGTGTACTATGATGCCATGTTGACAGTTGCCTTTAGAAGCTTTTACTGATTTGCTGTTTTCAAAGAATAATCTATCAGTTTCACTGATACAATACTGAAATTAAAAAAAAAAATCTGTATTTTTAACTGGGTGGGTTGAAATAATTCTGTAATTATTCAGCGGTACCTATGTCTCTTACAGACAACCAAGACTAAAATCTATTATAGTTGTTGGATTTCTTACATGTTAGTCATCTTTATGAGGCAAGAAAGAAACCAAGATTTTGACACTTACTGAAAGCATTATTACCATGAATGAATTACGACTAAAGAATTTCATTTCCTGACTGAGGTGATACTCGGTTTAGCACAATTATTGTGCAGTTTTCCCAACTTGCTTTATTTAAAAAAAAAAAAATTGTGAGGCCTCAAAAAGTTATGTTTATAGTTCTGTAGAGCCTTAACTTCCTCCTGACTACTACAATGAAAAAGTTCTCAGCTTTGTCATGACTAAGAACAACTTAAAAATGGCTTAGTGCCACACTTTAAAAACCTAAAAGTTCCATATAAACTCACAGAACGTTGAACTTTTAGCAAATATTTACTTTATTTTAGACCGTGCCTGTATTAATATAAAAAGTCTTAGCTTGTCCACTTAGTTGGTAGCTGCAGAAAAATACTTTTTAATTTTTTTTTTTATTTGTCTCTAAAAAAATTCCTTGGAAATGACTGAAAGCTAAAACATTTAACAATCTGTGGTCTGGAAAAAGGAGGTGAAAACAGAGAGGTATGTTATTGGTATTCATACTTTTGCTACAGAAAATGAGAATATTGCAGTCAGCTCTTACAGAAACATGAATAAGAGGATGGAGCCAAGGATGCAATGGTAAAGTCTGAAATACAGATCACATTAGGAGGACTAGACAAATGTAAATATAAGACACTGTTAAAGGAACACTGTCAAGGTTAGCAGGCATAAGATTTGTTGTATTACTTTTCAAACCCATGCCATTTATTATGTTTCTCACTCAAAATAATTTCTTTTTTATTAAATAGTCTGTCAGCCTCATGAGATGAACTTCACAATGAATTATTTTGCATGAACTACAAAGAGAACAGGTAATTGTCATGGGGAAAAATTTTATTTCAAGCTAGGAAGGTACAGTTGTAAAAAATATACAATAAAGCAAAGCTGGAAAATTATAAAGTACCTTGACAGTGTCCTTTTAAATGCATTATTCTTGTATTCACAAAGTTGAGTTAGGAGACAGTTGCCAGAGAGAGACATAATCAGAAAAGAAGAAAAAATACTGAAGTAGGTTAATGTTAATACATTGCTTGATAAAAAATATAAAATTTAAGAGACTTAATTCCTAGCACCCCACTGCCCATCCCTTCTAAAGAAACAGAAAGGTATTTTTTACATATATATAGCAAAATCTCTCTGGAAGCAAAATTTTGGTTGAACTGATTACAAAACTGCTGGAAGTTATTATGACACTGCTATACAACAATGATCCAATAAAATTTTGAAATTACACTTCTAAAATTCTGAATGTCTTTACGGAGAAGGTATAGGTCAGAAAATATGAACTGGGGGGGAAAGAAAGCAGCATCTAAAGCCAAGGCCATAATCTTGCAACTCTGCACTTTTTATTGAACTAGAATCCCTCTCGTACATTTTCACTGTGCATTTTGACATAATAAATTCCCTTCCACTGCAGAGACCAAGGACATGATTTTCTAAATGCTCTGAATCTCTCTGTGTTTTAACTGATCTGGAGTTTTGTTTTGGGTTCTTTTCTGGGTCCACATCCTCTATACTATGTTTTTTTGTTTGCTATGGAGCTTTGGAGAGTGCTTTGTATGTTGGTTTGGGTTAGGAAAAGATATACAATAGTTGCATGGGGGACACTTTGACACTTATTTGTCTATATACAGGGTCACCTGTAATTGCTGGGGTCTGGAGTCACTGATTCACATTATTCCCCCCTTGTAACTCCACAGAAACAATTAGTATTGTGACATTATTGAGTATGGCATTGATAAAGAAAAAGTTATAAAGGGGGACTCCAGGTAGCACACAGCTATTGCAAAGGAGAAAAGGCCTGATAAGAAAAAAAAGATATTATGCATATACTTTTTTAGTAATAACAAATTTCTAGCTCCTCATATACAGGACACAATGTTTCTTTTCCTCTACTGCAGTGCAAAAGAGGAATGTGTATAACTCTCAGAATATGCTTCTAGAAAGCATTTAGTAATTTTTGAAGTTACTTCTTTAGAAATGCCAACCTCAAGAGACTGGGAACAGGAAAAGACAACTCAGTTTCAAATTTAGATCCCACATCTTGGCCAGAGGTTAACTGAATTACTTATGAGTTCATAAAGCTAAAAATCTAAATTCTATTACTACAGCTGAACAGCAGAAACATTAAAGATTCTTGCAGATAACTGGAAAAAGTTTTTACTCTTTCATGTCATGTAATAAAATATTATTCTAGAAATTTGTGTTAATGATGTCAGTAGTTACACTGAATTAACAATTACAAATGCAGAGCAAACAGTTTATAAAATACTGAAATGTCTCTATGAGGATCGATGGCTGAAATTCACATAAGAGGCAATCTTAACTCCTTCTGGCATATAACAGTGGTAAATTCCTTCCAAATCAACAGGACTGACCACATATTTCCATTAATTTTTTTTCACATCTGAAACCTTCAATTCAGTATCTGTGGTCCAAACTCAGATTAACATTTTCCCAAAGAGAAAACTGGTCAGCATTACAGGTAGCTGACTGAGATGTTGCAAATGTCATAAAAACATTTTTGCCTTTCTCACAGCTGTGGCACGAGAATATAAAGAAATGTGTCTGAACTCTACTGCAAGTTGTTATGCAGTGAACATTTTCTCTCTCTTCTGTCATGTGCCTTATACTGTCAAACCTGGAAAAAGAATGGGTACTTTATCTCGCTAGGAGAAGAAGACATAAAATTCCATCCATTCATGCACAGAAAGGACATTTGATAAAGATCATGTTCCATATTGGAGCCATCCTATCTTGAGACTATACACTGAAAATTTTTGTCTTCAAAAACCAGATTAAACTTTTGAAGTATGAGTGAAGCCTAAAGTATTAAATGGCAATTACTGAAAATGTAGATTAGATTTTATATTTTATATTCTATATTATATAGAATACAATGAAAAGAAGCATTCAACATCCAAATCACAGGATGAATTGATTAAATAGTGACAGAATTGGAATCTTAAAGAATGTTGCTACTTGTATCTTGACTTTAAAAAGCTACTTGGAAATTTATTTTTCAGAATGTACAATGCTTCAAATTTAGTTTAAGATCCAATAAATCATTGAAAATGGAAAATGACAAATAGAGAAGTTACTACTATTATAGAAAATCAATTGATGAAGTGTGTTGAATCTCAAAGAGTGTTTTAAGAAATAAGTATTCATAAAAACCCACTCACTATACAGAAAAGTGAAAATAATATAACTGATTTTTACTGTCCAGACTGAAAGAAATGAGAAATGATGGCAAAACAAAAAAGGTCCACTTTTCTCCTCTCAGAGAACAAACAAACAAACGAACAAACAAAAAAACAAACAAAAAACCCCAAACCAAACCAAACCAAAAAACCACAAAGACCTCAGTCCTCTCTTTCAACCTTCCTCTTCCCCTGAAATCATTGTATGTGCAAAGGATTCGACCTGCTACAGTTGTGGATATTATAACAGCAATATGATGAATGATCCTTATAGGATGCCATTTTTTCCCTCTAACATATTTTCAAGGGATATTTTCCATCAGTGTCCATTCAAAATGGATAGTGACCAAGTGAAACAGAGATTCAGCACAAAGTTCAGTGAGTTCAGGGCTTGTCACCCAATCCAGACACTGCATTGTAAATCAATGCAGGGGAAGTTGTGTAACTGCTTTGAAGTCCTCACGAAATATGATGAATATTAGCACTATCTTGTCAAGCCAACACAGTTAATTTTGACTTCTAGAAGAGTGATGATTGTTTTAATTTCTGGCATTCATATTTCAGTGACTTTATTTATTTTTAATAATGAAAAATAAAATTGCCCTGAGGTAACTGGAATCAACCCACAGCTTGAACTTAGTCTAAATCTGGAACAATTGGAAAAAGAGTATCCTTGGTATCTGCCTAAGGAGGCAAGAAATAAACTATAACAATTTGTTTCTAAACAGGATTTCTATAAGGCAACTCTTGCTCAACCATTGTAACTTAATATACATTACATTTAATACAACACATATACCTGTCTTAATTATAGTTGTCTGAACATGCAATCTTGCAGCCATTCCATTCTAACTTGGCTTTAAAATAACTTTTATTATTTAAGCATGTCTTTGTCAGATAGGATTCTACGTACAGACAATACAGGAGTTAATAAAAGGGCATTACAAGATTTCACAGACTAACCTTGCTGCAAGGAGCAATCCAGTAAGCCATTGAAAGGAAAGGCAGTCCTATTGCAACAGCAAGAACAACCAGAAACTTCACTGCCATGGTCTGCTGCCGTAAACCCGACAAATTCTCATACCAAATTGAGAGAAGTTGTTGCTGGCAGTTTGGATGTGCTACAAACTATAATAAAGAAAAACAGAACAAAAATAATATTTCCATCAGAACAACCTGTATTAAAATACAGCTATATGAAGCACATTAAGATTTCTGAAATGGCAACAACTCAGGAGAGTTGCTCAAAGGAAAATTAACAAGGGCATAAGAAAAACTACAGGTCAAATCTCCCAGCAAACAGCCATGTTGCTATCAGCAATAATAAATACTTTAATTAAAAAACTATTATTTATTAACACCTTTATTATTTATGATTCAATCACAAAAGAATAATTTTATCTAAGGTTAATTAAACATAAAATTTATCTGGCCAAATTCTATTTGTTTCTTACATTTATAATTTTAAATTTCCCGCTTCGAAATTCCAAAACTTTAAGTCTCTTTGTTCTGCAAAAAATGCTATATCATCTTCAGTTTTGAATGGAAGATTTTGTCATATTTTCATGTGCTAATATGTTGGCATAAGAAAACAGCTGTCACATTTGCAGGAAATCTGATAAGAACTGTTTATAACTTGGTTCTGGAATATTTTGGACAAACTGCAAAACTGAGAAGTTTACCCTATAACCCCCTTTGTGTCATTTGGATAGTATAAGAAGCACCTTACAAAGACAGATATTAACAAATAGCAGATCCTTATACACTGTATCTATTTATATGCAGACCTGTAAATAGAATTAAAAATTTAAATGAATCTAGGTTAGGTTTTTTTCTATAATCTTCTCTATACTCAAAGGATGACTGGCTGAAGGTGCAAGAGATGTCTTTATTGAGAGAAGAGAAAGTATTGCAAGAAAGTTCAAATTCAGGGACAGATTAAGACTCAAATACTATGAAGGACAAACTCATTGTGATATGTTCTCTTCAGCAGTTGCTTCATCTCTCTTTAATGACCATAACTTACCAAGTGTTTTGCATTGTTTTCATTTGCTGGTGAGTGCTCAGCCAACATAGTTTTCTTCTTTTCTTCCCTCCATGAACACATAAATACGCCTCACATGTAAGAGATGTAAACTCCATTTTTGTAAAGAAGGCTCTACTTTAGGGTAACATGCATTTGAAGTATTCTCCTGATCTGTATCTTCCTGATCTTTGGTTGTATAAGATTCACAACACAAAAAATTTCTCCCTGGTTCACCACCTAGAATTTTACAACCTCTATTATCCAAGTTTCCTGGGTAATTCAAGGGTTTTTGTGCACCTACTAACTCAGCTGGTTTCACTGAGAGCTTTTCAGATGGAGACCAGAGTATTAAACTGACAGTAGAAATGAAAGCGAGACAAAGAAGGGATGATAACTCCTGCCATTCTTTTATTTTGCACATAGCTACAAACTGTTTTAGAGTCATTTTCTCTCATACTCACTGTGACCAGTATCCACCCTGAATATCTGCTTCTTGTTTATATTGTTAGCTATTTGGGGCAAGGATTCTTTTGTTTCTAAAATACACTGTGAAAAAGGGCCCTAATGTTCATTTGTCATAGGCTACCAAAACATAAACACTGAATAGTAGCACAATTTAATACCACTAATCATGACATGTCTGTTTGATCAACATAATTGCTTACTTTTTTAACTTCGTACTTAATGGCAAGTTTTAAGCGGCTAAGGCTGGGGCGACCGTGTTCTCCATTACTGAGGTTCATCTCTACATCACCATTCAAAATAGCTTCCACTTCTTCTGTATTTCTGCACAAATCAAGGAGTCCAACTACAAAATCTTTGCATTGCATAGACAGTTTCTTGTAATCATTCTAGAAAACAGAAGAAAGAAGGAGACTTGATGTTTAGATCCACCATGACAGAAAGAGTTCTACATCCCAGCCACACCTCTGTGAACATAAATAGTTTCTTTGCATCTTGTTATGCGCTTCCTACCCCCACCCGCCAAAATGTTCAGAGTGGGGTTTGTTTCACCTTGGTTACCTTGCACATCTACATTATCAAGTTCTGCACCTGAGTCACTTCTCTAGATTTGCTTTCAAGGCAATTAAAGTAAAAAAAACGAAACAAAACAAAACAAAACAAAAAAGCCACCACTTTCAGAAATGTTGTATGACACATTTTAATAGCCAGTTCAAGTTGAGATGAAGAGCACAGGGGAAATTTTTCTATTCACTGTCACAGAATTCTAGGCATCCAACTCAGGTGTACAAAATTGCACTGTAGAGATTTCAACTGGACAAGATAAGTATCCAAAACAGAACACATCTAAACAAAATCCCAACTTTCCTGAAAAATGTACAAATATACTGAATTTTCTTAGGCCTTGATTTTATTCTTGTAAACTTTATCTTTCTCATTTTCCAGCACCTATTCTAGCTTGGAAACACAAGATTGCTTTTTTCAAGCAGCACTGTCCACATTGCCACAGCTAGCATGGTGATACCACATCTCTAACTGCAACTCTGCTCTCTAGCTCAAATATTTCACAACAGGCTTCACCACATGAGCCAAAATGTTGCACTGCAACTGCAGGTTCTGCTGCTTATTGCTTTAACTACCAAGTATTCTCCTCAGTCACTGTTTTCCAAAAGGTGTAAGTCAAAACAGAAAAAGGTATTTTGATCATTGCAATGCACAGTTCATTAACTATCCTTACATGTAGCTGTGTTTGGGTTAGAAAAAGGTGAATATAGCTAGACAGACCGAGAGTTGGATATAGATACAGATGTACATCTAAAGCTGAAAAATTTGTCTTATGAGAGATTTACTCATGCATGTGTCAACAACTTCTATTTTTTTGATCTCTGCTAATTTTAATGTCTTAAAAAGATGAAATTACTGTAGAATATTTCCTAAACAAAAGAATGAAAAAAATCCTCCAACCACCTCACACCATATAGGACTGCTCATGTAGTCTCCATTGCATGTTCAAAGAAACTTTCTACAAATGCTTTTATTACAGTTACACATTTCCTCCTCTTCCAGTCTGTTCTTCATAGCATTCCCCCTTCTCCCACTTGTGGTCTCTGTTTAGCCCCTTTTTTTTAATTATTTCCTTCATACTAACTGTCATCTAATGCATTTAATGCTTCATCCTGGAAAGAAACCACTATTGAGTCAAGACACCCTAATTTATTTTCCGAGGGTGCACTTTGTGCATCTTTGTGCTTTATTAACCACACCACCACAATAACAGTTTATTACTTGGATATATTAAATGATTGCATCCAAGTTTTACAGTTCACTTTGCTTAGATGGATGCAAACATTCCCAGGTAAATAGTTACAGACAGTATTGTTTATCTACATAAAACTGCTAGTGATTTACTTTTTTAATAATGTAACATAAACAAGACAGCTCAGATCTGTCATAAAAGAGAAAGACACTTCAGTGTCATTTATCTACAAAGACAACACAAGATAAATAATAAAACTAACCATATTCTGCCATGCTGTAAAATTTAGTATTGCATTATTTATTTACCCTCTCTTCAGAAGAATAACAAGAGAGATTAACTGAAATCCCGACTTTTTGGCCCTGCAGACAGACATTTTTTGGGGAGTAATATATCACCTTCCTTTTGGTTTTCATTTTTGTGGCAGAAGCTAACATTCAGTATTCAAAAATTTTAATGCATGAATGTCCTCTTCAAAATGAAAGGAAAATTAGCCAATTCAGATTCACAGACAAAGGACAAACATAGAGGTAACTACACACCCCTGTATGATTAGGTGCCAACTGTTCCAAACTGATATCTGACCCTTGAACATCAAATGAAAAAAAATGAATAATTTTCAATAAATATGGGAAAAAATTCATTTGGCTTTCAGAATAACTATTAAAAAATACTGTAATACATTAGTATGTGCATATTTTCTGGTAGGAGATATGTACACTCATCCCCACTCACACACACCCTCCATCACTATTTAACAGCTCAAATGAGCGAGACCTGACAATAGTATGTGAGGAACTCCACTGGGGAGTCCAGTGTCTTTGGGTAGCCTCAAAATATCTCATATGATAACTTATTCTAGTGAATAACATGATTTTTTTCTGAGTGTAGTCCTATTTGCCAAAATACAAACTGAAGGGGCACTTCTTAGGTAGAGCCAGATTCCCTGTTCATACTTTGCCGTACGTTTGTACACAGTAGCACAGTATGAATTAGTACCCAGTAAATTCATCCACAAACTCCATCAACTTGTATTCTCATTTGTAAATACAACAAAACAGCTTCCTCTTCCATGAAATACTACCACACAGCTGTGATCAGTGGTAACAGCTGAGCTGAAATGTCCTAAGCAGTCAGGTTGTGGTAAACAAGCTTAGGGGAACTGAGTTGCCCATCACGGCCTCCACCTCAGCTGTGGCACAGGCAGAGTCAGCTGAAGGCAGAGCCCTCCCTGCTCCAGCTCACAGCTTGCTGTATTGAGACCTATTCCCTTATGAAGAATTTTTCCTTTCAGAGAAGGTTATGGAGGATAGATGGGATGATAATGTCTTAAACTGCTACAGGAAAATTTGTCAGGGTCTGAACTTTGTTTCTGAGAAATCATGTGCATTCACTTGCAGAAACTACTACATGGGCCACCTTTTTCCCCTTGTCTCCTTAGTCCACTTAAATGTGTAATTACAGCAAAAATGATTGATATACTCTACTGTGTCTCTCTGTCACATATGTACAGAAAGTTCCCCCTCTCCCAGAGTCTCACATCTCCTACCACTAATGTGATCCAAGGCAACGTGGCAATTTGCTTGGCTTAATTTATTTTTGAAAATGGTCAAAGTCATGGATAATTCCATGAGTTCTCCTTTACCCAAAAGTGTAAACTTAGTGAATTAAAAAAAAAAAAAAAGCCTTCTTGGGGTACTTGAGAGGGGAGTTTAAAATTAAATTACAGTTGGAGGCTCTAAAAAGAATCTGCCCTTAATTCTTCAATAAAGCATGTGTGCTTTATTTTAGGCATGTGACAAACTTTGGTTCAGGGCTCCTCAGCAGTTTAGGAAAAAAACAAATTTTGCCAAATTTCGTCACACTAAGGATGAGGGGGCAGCACTAGGTGGTCTCACCCTGCAAAAGAAGGTGAAGATTTGGGGTGAGTGCTATGGAGGATGAGGAACTGGGGGAACAAGATGCTAGTGGTCAGAAGAGCAGATCACCAAAACTGTTTCTTTCAGAAAGACAGGTCCTTCTTGTGATCAGTCACAGGCTCCCACTGTCCCTCCTAGACTGTGCCCAGGATGAGAATGCTCTCAGATGCAGCCCAGAGAGCCAACCATGTCCTGGGCTGTATCAAAAGTACCTTGGCCAGCAAGTTAAGGAATGTGATTCTGCCCCTCTACTCTGCTCTTGTGAGACATCACCTGCAGTGCTGTCTCCAGCTCTGGGGCCCCCAAAAGAAGAAAGAGGTTGACCTGTTGAAATGAATCCAGGGAAGAGCCACTAAGTTGATCAGAGGGCTGGAACACACCTCCTATGAAGACAGGCTGAGAGAGTTGGATCAGTTCAGCCTGGGGAAGAGAAGGGCTCCAGGGAGGCCTTATAGCATCTTTCAGTACCTAAAGGGGGCTTACAAGAAGGCTGGAGAAGGATTTTCACAAGGGCATGCAATGATAAGCTAAGGGGGAATGGCTTTAAACTGAAGCAGCATAGGTTTAGATTACATATTAGGAAAAAATTCTTTACTATAAGAGTGGTGAGACACTGGAACAGGTTGTCCAGAGAGGATTCCCCATCCCTGAAGATCTTCAAGACCAGGTTGAACGGGGCTGTGAGTAACCTGGTCTAGTGGAAGGTTCCCCGCCCCTGGCAGGGAGGTTGGAACTATATGATCTTTAAGATCCCTTCCAACCCAAAGCATTCTATTATATATAACCAAATTAAATGGTGTTCAGAAAATCCTGAAGACCTCAGAATTACTCAGGAAGCCCGAATTAGATGTTTGCTACAGAAATATTCCTATACTGTGCTTGACACATCTATCCAGTTTAGCACTGCTCCTTTCTATTGCCTCTGAGGAAGATCTGGGAATTATCTGTGCAACTGGTTGCTGTAGGTACTCACTTGAAAGCTCCCCTGCAACAATACCCCATAAGCACTATAAAATAGGTGACTTTTACAGAACGTTCAATTTCCATTTGAAATACTTCACATGGCTAAGGCAAACCCTAGGTGGAGCTAAAGATTTGCCATGCCCAGCTAAACCTATGCACTAAAATTATACTTGTTCTGACTACACTAACATGTGTAACACATTTTTATGAAACCCACATTTTTATGCAGCAACTACACTACCCAGGTATTTGTAGCAAACGCCTGAAATAAAGCAAGGTTAACAATTTTTAGATAAATTGCTGCAAGCAGGGATACGAGCTTGCAGGAGCACAAGCTAGCCCACACTCAGTAAAGCTGACAACATTCATTTCCTGTAACTTGCACACACTTGCACTGCCTCCACTGAAACTAAGCCAGGTATTTTGCAGTCAAGTCCCTAGCCTGTCTAGATATTGTAAATGTTAATCACTTAATGAAAGTGTAAATGTTAACTCTCGATAATTCACGTGTAAATGTACTCCATGGTCTTTAATATTTATCCAGAACACCACGGGATTTTAGTACCTATAAAAACATTCCCAAAAGTCCTTACGTTGCCTGCTCCTGGTGAAACTATAAATTAAGGGAGAGTTAAATTTCTGTGTTGCCTACTGCTTCTGCTCCTCACAGTTCCTATCCACCTCCTCTCTACTCAAAGATTATGTATGTTCCCAGCAGAGCCTGGATGATTAATGCCCAGCAATGTGGAGCTGCTCTGTCTCTCATCTAGCCTCCTGTTTCTGCTGAGGGGCAGCACCTCAAAATCTCTGTTGAAATTCTTTATACAGCACTGCCCTAGAAGTCAAGCTCTAATTTTAGAGAAAGTAACTGAAACAAAAGAGGAACTAGAAAAAAAAGAAGCCCCTGAAGAAGGACCTCCTTATGGAACTTCTGGGCAGGCTGTAAAAGCTTGCTCTGTGACCCAGCCTACCTGTTCTCACCTGTGTACTCCATTCCCTGCCTTGTGGTGCCAGGGACAAATAGTGCACTCCCAGTTCATCTCACTGATTGTGTACTGCAGCATACATTTGAAAGACACTTCTTGCTGACTATTCCAGATGATGATTTTATTTATCTTTATAATAATCTAAGTTTGTGTCACTCCAACTGTGGTAAAGGGAGCTATACAGTTCCTACAAATGAGACACGCTATTTATCTCAACATAGCTGTGAACTTAACAGCCTGCATTTATGGTGTATGAAAAATGGTTTTGTGTTCTGTTCTAAATTTACTCCTCTTTAAGTTAATCAACTCCTTTTGTTCCCATCAGCAGCTGGTAAAGAGAAAGAAATGAGTGTGTGGTTTAAATACTCTCCTCTGAACTGTACACGAAAGCAGTGGATGAAATCTCAGTCTACTGAGGTCCTAAGGATTTCTGTCAGGGACTTCATGGGGCAGATATACATCCTCTTCATTGAGCTGAAATGGTCTTCTCACCATTTTTTTTTTCTCCTCTGCTCCAATTACTGATTTTTAGCTGTTGTTTTTAAGATCATCTTGCACATTTCTTCTCCTTATTTTCCCTCTCCAAGAAATATTTCTGCTTCTTATAACAGGTTAGTGCCATAAAGATACATCTATGAACAAAACTCAGGAGTAATTAATTCAGAACTGCAGCATCCAGCTCAGGTTGGCTGAGTTGAGAAAGGTTCAGGGCCTTATGAACTGTGCCCAGTACTGACAAGATGAACATTAAATACTGATCATACCAACTTCAAACTCTTCCTAACGTAATGCTGGAAATTATTCTGTTACATCTTTGGAGGAGGTTTATCTCCTGCTAGTGAAGTCCACATATCTTGCTCTGTCATAGTGGCATCTGCTTTCAATGGGGTCCCATAAAGCAAACCCAGTCCAAGTGATTTTAGCTAACCTAAGGCATAATTAAAAATGGCAATGTTTGCACAAAGCCTGACTTTGCATTTCCTGAGAGACAGAAGGTTACATTCTTACTGTCCTAACACAAATGAACTGTGGAAAATATTTCTGCAGGTTGTGCACCATTTTATCTACAAAGTTTCCAGTTCAATTATGAGAAAATAAAGAGAATCTGCAAGTGTTTAATAGAATCTTGCAACTTGTCTTGCCAAACAGTGTCAAAGAACACCAGTTTAGCCTCCTCTTTCCCCTGCCCTAAGACAGCTTCAGCATGGATTTGAAGGGCCTCCTTTACTATCCTGCATGATAGGAAGTAGAAAATTAGTTCACTGGCATATTCTACACAAGGATCAAGAATTACACTCAGCATACAGCAATAAGAGATTCCCAAAGATTTAAACTCTCCATTGATTAAAGAATTATGTCTTTTCCCAAATCATCCTGCTGATTTATGAAGATAATGCTGATCTCTTACTGCTCAAGGAATGAGAGAAAAACCTTTGATTGCAATTCTATGTCTGTCAGAATCAGTATCCCACTACTCACCTTGAACTCTTTCTCTATGTTGGCAAGCACAGCCAGCTCATTGCTGAGCTCTAAGGCAGTCATTACAGGGTCTTCACTGGACAAAGACAGATAAGCAGGGCTGGCCAGACCTTTGTAGGCATTGATTCTGGATCTAGAATGGCTGAAAGAGTCATGTTTTTGTTTCTGATTGCATTCACTGCACTTGCAGAAATAGTCATGTGGCCTATCGATCCGAGCTCCTTTTCGCAGCAGAGTGTGGACAATCTCATACTCATGGCAGTGAGCAGCCAGAATGATTGGTGTAACATCATGGGAAAACCGTGTGCCATCTTCATCATACGCATAGAAGTCATCCTGCTGGAGCTCCGACTGGCTAGGACTCAATGCAAGCCTCTTGCCTTCGGCAAAAGCGGGATGGTTTAGGATGGCTTCCACTATCCGAACGTAACCTTTGCTAATAGCCAAAAGCAAGGCATCCCCCACCCGAGACAGGTTCTCCTTCTTCAGCAGAAGTTCTGTGATCTCCAGGTGCTCATTGGCAACTGCCAGCTGCAAAGCGTTCTGTCCCATGTAGTCCACGCAGTTCACATTGAGTGAGGGACATTCTTCCAGCATTTTGCGAACCACTGGAATATTTCCATATTCTGCCGCATCCAAAAAGCGCTCCTCCTCAAGGGAAAGACTTGTGGAGTGGTCATTAAACATATATGCTGGCCCTCGACTGGCCTGCCTTCTCCCCTTCTCCCGGAGAATGGTCTGTCTTCGTAGCGCTAGTCTGTTCTCGTTGCCTCGGCTGTGTGGAAATAGAAAAATTGTCAGTTCAGTTTTATGCAAGGGTATATCCATTTTAAATAATAACTAAGACATATACTTTTATATGTCCTTTATCTTCTTAAGACCTTTATCTTCTGCATAGTTTTTAATGCATCAGGAAGACCAGAAACCCTGACTTTGATGCACTTTGTAACCACAGTCACTACACAGCCCTGGAAACAGTAGCCAGCTACCTTATTTCAACAAGAAGAGAAAGCCCTAACCAATCATCACTTAAGACTACAATTTCTTCCTTATTTTGTCTTCACAGCTCAGGGTGAAAACAACCCACAACGGGAAAGGAATCAGTAGTCATGGGATGAGGAATGAGGGATTGCTCAGGACAGCAGGGCTCTGATTTCTCCTCTTCACCCTGACGATGTTTTTCTGACATCTATGATTGAATGCTCAGTCATAGATTGAATCTATTATGACATTTCTATGACATTTCTTACTCCACATCTCCACCATCCTTTTCATTATTGCAGTTCATAACCTTGATATCCTATTTATTCCTTCACTCAGTAGCTTCCCAACACATCCTGCCAATTCCTGATTCATGATTGTTCTGAAATGTTGTCCAGTTTGCTACTACTGAAACTCTCAGCCATTCCTAAGCTTTTATAAAAATTATTAGTTACTTTATTAATAATTATTTAATGATTAAAACATAAAGTGAACTATATCAAAGTTAAGTTTATTCAGGAATGCTACAAAGTATGCTACATTCTCTTTAACAAGAAAATCTAATTCACAACTGTTATTATTTCAGTCAACTAAGATCCCAATCCTGAATAGAAACTCTATTGTGAATAATTTTCTCGTTTAGAATTACTCTGCTAAACTACATAATATTCACCACAACTTCATCTTTTTTCTCATTGAATAGTAGCTTAATTATTCTTTACATACATATGCTCAAACACATTTCACTATATTCAGTATTTCCCATAAAATACTAACCATGAGCAATATTTTATTCATTAACTACTTACTAATGAATATGAATTTAATTTTCTACATTTAACTTTAGTATAAATTTCCTTTTTTCCTCTTGCCTTCTCAGTTCCAGAGATACAGTCCTCTGCAGCACTGGAAATGTTTCAAATTGCCAAAACCTTACATATAAAAGGACAATCTTTGTGCAAGATAGTAATGGGTATGGAATGTGGAATATATCTCAACTGACAAGAATAATGTTCAACGTAACAGTACTAATACTGTGCTATAATGGTAAGTTTACAGCCTTGATTTGGACTATGCCGGTCATTTCATATACGGAACAATGCTAGATCCCATCTTCATCTACTCCTCAAGATCTCTGCAAAGACTGTCTCAGTTACTGCAGGTTCAGAGCACATGAGAGAGCATGAATATATGCTAATGTCTTAGAGATGAATACGCTACATGCTGGCTGAAATTTTTCTATGCATATTTCCAGATATTTTAAAAAATATATTTATATTTGTTGAAAAGACAGCCTTTGGAGAGGTTTCATAGAAGAACTGAAAACTAAATTAATGAAAACTTTACTCGCATTCATAACACTCTTGGTGCCAAAACCAGAAATTCACTAAATGGAAACCAGTCTGTTGTTACATCTACAATTGTTTGACTGGAAATGCGTGTCCTAAATTGGAACAGGGATGAAATGTTAGGAAGGAGAGATCATATAGAGAAAGTAGACATCAGGGTTTTGAAAATTATCCCTTAAGGGACTCTAATGTGGTTGTGAACAGTTTTTTTCACACACAGAATATGACAGCGTACTATGGATGAGGTGAAAATCAACTGGGAGTCAGGAAAGAGAAGGAAGTTAAAGGCATGAAGGTGCAGGGAGGAGGGGAATGAGAAGGAAAAGAATGCAAGGGAAAATTTCCAAACCTTGTGGGTTTTAAGATTTATGTACTGAACAACTCTTAAGAGATGACCATAGCAACATCACAGGGAGATAAGGAGAGAACTTCCCTAACTTCTGTAAGAGAGTCAATGCTCAAAAAATAAAGGACTTAACTACACCAAGTTAATCCCACAGTCAAGGGTTTTAACTAGGCTGTTTGTTTCTTGAGTTTTAGCTTCCTATGAAAAATAGGCTCTGTGTAACAGTCATAAAATTTTCAGAAAAAAAAACATCAAGTTGATGCTGATAAACTGATCAGGACTGATTTTCATTCACCATTGCCTTTGTTTATCCAAATTATGCAATGTATGGGGGAAAAAAAATTTCATAGTGAAATTAACTACAGCTAAAGGAAAAACAAATAATGCATAGTAGTTACGGGTCTTGTACATGTATGTGCTACCAAATTTAATTACACACGATTGGATTTCAGAGCTTAATTGATAAAAATTAAAGTTTCTCTAATGCAAAAGAACTAATTGATAAAATATGGATACAAAAACTTCGTACTGCTTTTAAAACTTTCTACAAATGTGATGTCACAGAAATACTCTGAATTGTGAAAATATAGCAAGCTTACAAGATTCAACACATATTTACAGGAAAACTAGGATAAATATAAACTAGAAAGCATATAGCTTTTTTTTCCTCTGCTCCATTTCTACAGTTCTCAGGATCTGCATTTAAGACTAAGTTTAGTTTAATGAGGTTAATCTCTGGAACTTCTACAGTCAGTAAAGGCAAACTGAGATGCCTTTTCGTGAGACCAGGAGCATGAACTCCACTTCTTTGGACATAAGGAACTGCCTATATCATGCTTAACATCATCAACATAACACTAGCTATGTTATGCTTATATTAGCCTCAGATAAATAGCCTAAATTCTTCGCATCTGCTCAACTCATAATAACATGACTGTACTGCTTATCCTTATCCTTCTGATTCTTGCTTTTGGCAGAAGCAGTGAGCCAATATATATGCATGCAAAGATGGAGTTAGGAAAGCTAAACTTCAGCTGGAGTAAAAAGTAGCAAAGAACATGAAGAGCAGCTAGAAAAGCTTTCTGAAAGCACACTAGAAGCAAACGGAAGACTAATTGAATTCATGTGCACCCACCATTTGCAAAGCCCCAAACTCACTCAGTTTTTTTAAGGGGGCTTAGGTACTCCCTTAAAAGGGACTTAAAGTGGGTTTAGGTACTACCTGAGGCAGGTGCAACAGACAATGTGACTCAGGAGATTGGTTCCAGTGTGGTGTCAGCTGCTATAAAATCCAAGATGATAGGGACATGAAACATGTATACAATTGCTTTTATCTGCTCTGGTCTCTTGGGCCCCTCCCCCCAGGTGGAGTTTTTGGTGTTCCAGTGGCTATTAGCCATTCTGGGCTGAACTAGAGGCTCCAGGGGCAGGCTGTGGAGCAGTGCACCACCCCACTACACAGAACTTGCCCGGCCCCACCCTGCCACCCCCACTTTAGTTGTTTTGAGCCAGTGATCATTTTCTGCAATTTCCCACGCTGTTCAACCAACTGCAGTGCTTAAAACTGAAAAGAAAGCACTGAGTACCTCAGTTTCATCTGTGTCTGTTGTCACTGGGTCCACTGGCAATAATGAGCCTGTGGTGGTGAACTGACCCAACACACAGAAAAAAACTGCATTTTCATTTTTTAAATAATGGAAACAGATTATATGTCTATTCTAGTAATACATTCAGTATAATTTATCAAAACAAAGAGTAATCATTGCTAGCGAAGAATGCTTAGAATTAGCTTCTTTGTCTAGTAGCACTTCCCCTTTCCTTGCCCGCATTTAGAAGAAAATCATTGCTTAAATGGAGGATTGAGTACATACATTCCTTACATAGTAGCTCATTTTCTGGATTAAAACCTATTGCAGAAAGAAATACAAGATTTTTGCATTGTTTGCTGGACATGTGTGCTGTAATGCATGTCTGATGCAGACCTCTAGAATCTCAGTGTAATCCACTTTTCTTGCATCAATATATTTTACAGGTATGAAATAAACTTCCTGGTTTGTCCATTTGCAATTACAATTAACTAAAATTAAGGGTCTGTAATGAAAACTGGTTCTTGCGGCATGAGACCATAAATATATTTAACTGTAGTAAAGAAAGCTAAATTTTATAAGACGCTTGATTGCCTCCAAGAGTAGGGAAAGGAATTTGACGATCCAAAAGATTATGTTTAGTCCCGTTATATTCTGATGTTCTTACATTTCTTTCAACAATACTAAATTCCCTCCAGTCCATTTTTCATTAAAAAGGTGCCCATGTTAGCATCTATTGTCACAGATGGTGGCCACATGAGTCTTAAAGCCATTTGAAACCTCATCCTTCCCAGACTCTAACTGCTGGTTGCAACATTATTAATGTTGCACCCTATTATTGCACTTTTGGGCAGATAAGGTCTATTAATGCACTTTTGGGCAGATAAGATCTAAATGACTGTACTTATCTCCACTTACTACTGAAGAGCTAGTATGACCAAACCTGGAATACTGTCATCATTTTAGATATCATATTACAGGAAGGAGTTCTACAAAACAAGAAATTAAATGCAAGAAAGCAGCGGAGGTCACACAGTCTCTATTGTACTTTCCACTTTAAGCATAATAAGATTGATTCTGGGAATTATACAGGATGGTACTCATCTGACTTCCACCACAGGATCAGAACAATTCAAGTATAAATCAGTCATTTTGATCTTCTCTGTATATAAAGGAGAGACGTTTCTTCTACCTCCTTTTTAAATGGAGCATCTATATTTTTCCATTGTTTAAAAAAAGAATTGTAGCTATTCAGTGATTAGGTGAGATTAAGGCTTCCTTTACTGTATAGAATTTAGCAGCAATATAGAGCACAGAAGGAGTCAAGTCCTTACAAGTACAGATACTACCTCAAACAATTCCCACTAAAATATCAGATTCTGTCTTAAAGGAAATTGCTGTCTTGACGAAATTTTATTTTCTCTCACTAATCCCACTGAAAGGCTAATCTTGAATTTGACTGTTCTACTACTCAGAATTAATCTAGTTTTTGGCCAAAATTTAAAAATCACCA